GGTCTTCTTTGAATGACTTAACTATTGGTTTTGTGCCCTGATGTTGTTAATTATCTGGCCATCAATGCATTAGCTCAGAGAGAACCCAAATCCTGAGCAGGACTAAGTAGACACAGAAGGAGCACTTAATTTGAAGTGTTGCCCAAAGAGGAAAGCTGCAAAGGAAAGCTGGCTTTTTAGCTTGAAGTGAAGAATGAGAAGGGAGATCTGTCAGAGGTCTATAAAATCATGCAAGGTGTGGAAAATATGGGGAGAGTGTAAGGTCATTTACTAAAACTAAATTCAGAATCAACACAAGGAAATGTTTCTTTATATATAGCACATAGCTAAATTGTAGAACGCACTGCCACTAATTTAAGAGTGCTGCAACAGAGAAGCCATTGGCCTGATCCAACTTCAAGGCTCTTCTTATATCCCTGTTTTCCTAATAACTGCAACGGAAGAATGAGGAAGTATCAAATGCTTCTTTGTTTGTAGTAAGAAGCAGTGGTGCTTAAAAGTTTGTGAACCCATTTGAATTTTCAATATTTCTGCATAAATATGACCTAAAACATGATCTATTTTCTACACAGGTCCTAAAACTAGACAAGGAGAAACCAATTAAGCAAATGAGTCAAAAACATTATACTTGTTCATTTATTTATTAAGGAAAATGATCCAAAGCTACACATTTGTGTGTGGCAAAAGGATTTGTATGGAAAACAGATCATGTTTTAGGTCATATTTATGCAGAAATAATTGCAAATTCAAAAGGGTTCATAACTTTTTAAGCACCACTATACATAGATGAGTTAGAAATGAAATCACAAGGAATGCAACATGATCAATAAACTATCCTTGCCCAAATTCTCTGCCAGCACAGGTAGTGCCAATGTTGGTGGTGAATCCTAGAAATTGTAATCTCAGAACATCTGGAGAACTTCAGACTGGGGAAAAATGCAGCAGATGAAAAGGGTCTGACCTGCTATAAGGCAGCTTTTTATGTTTCTGTGTTCTGTCCAATCTTTTCATTCCAGAGTGGTTAAGAACTACTAATATCCAATATGGAATATTGCTAATAAGGACAATTAATAAAGCAACCTAAGTTGAGCAATGATGCCATCAGGTCAGGATTTGGAGGCAGAGGTCCAAGGCACCACTCAGTGTTATGAGCAGGAAGGCTCCCAAATATAGCAGGAATGTTGACCATATGTTGAAGTAATCCACAGTGACATCCAAAGAGGAAAGCCCATATTGGAGATTAGATTTAGAATCTAAAATTTTGGAGCTGTACTACTGAACTGAAAGCCAGACTAAAGACAACTTGAAATGCTTCTTTGTACTGAATGCCCAGCCTACACATCAAGTGAGCAATGCACCTGGGGGGGAGTCAAAAAAGTCAAGATGGCAGCTGTAACTATGCAATTGCTGTGCATGAAAAAGGAGCAAGACTTAGTATAGTTGTAGCCACCATCTTGACTTTTTTTGACCCACACATCACCAGACATCTTTGCACCAAAATACCTGCTACATGCTACAATGGCATTCACAGAACTCCAACATTGTTTTAATGGTCAAAATTTTGCAGCCTGCCACATTTTATGAGATTCGGTGCTCTTGTGATATTTGGGGCATTTTTATACGAGACTGTACAAGGTGTTAGCTATGAGGTTGCCAGACTCTTGAGACTGGGGTTGTTTAAAACTTTTATTTTAAAATCTCTGTTCTGAGTTCTTTGAAAGGAAAGTGCATGGATGCCAATTGACTTTATGAATTATTCTTTTGTGTAGCGTATTACAAGACAAGGAGTTTTCTTGTTCAAGTCATTTTACTGGGTGGTCATTCTTCATCTTCCTTTTCTAATATCTGTAAACAATAGCACTGGATTTCGTAGAATAATCCAGAAACTGCACTGTTCCACAAGCTGAAATGAGCATTGTGAAGTCAACATGTCCTCCATTAATTATGCCTTTTAAAAACTTCTGCATTTCTTCTCCTCTAACCCACTTCTACATCCCAGCAGAGCCATTGCTTGAAAAGTCCTCCCCTCTTTGATTTAAATCATTTAATTTATGGACTAGCAGGTCTTTTGTTTTCAAATCAAATAACCTATTTTGCTCATGCGAATGTTTCTGAGATATATATATATATCTCAGAAACAGTGTTATTTTGCTACTTGATTGGTTCAGTGTAACGGTTGGGGCCATCTCAGCCTGATTTGTTTTATAATTAAAGCTTTTTGCAACTCGCTTTTCACCTCCCTCGCTCCGCCACTGATTCCCACATGCCGTCTTTCTCCCTTCCGTCTACACCAAGATTGACTGAGGGTTCACACAAGTCATGGCTCAGAGGGGCACAATAAAGGCATGGCTGACTGTTTTGACATCATTTGTTTTGGAGTGACAGCCTCTGAGAATTATCTCAACTTTTCTTTTGATGGTGACTAATTGAATTATTTTATTATACTGCATGTTTTAGTAGTGGGAGGTTAGGGGTCACCTTGTCACTGAAACAGAGACTCCATTCCTCCCCGCTCTCTTATCACTTCAGCATGCTGCAGAGATAGGCAGCTAAAAGCGGAACCAGTTGAACTTGTGTGAATAGAAGGTCTTGTGCGCTCACCACGCTATAGTTTAGCAGCTCTAGACTACTTCTGCATCTGAAAGCTTCCTGTGGCCTCAGTGACCGCAGGAATCTTGCTCAGAGAAAGCCTTGGGGCCTACCAGGCATCTTTGAGATCTCCCAGTAGAGGCATATCACTCTGAACCAAATCCTTGGTGCCAAACATTGCTTCACAGTGCTTTCAGGCATTACAATGGCTTGTAGGAAGCTCATGTTCACAAAGACAGCATGGATATATGCCGGACCCCCAAACAATTAATGGCTTCTCTCCAACTGCCCTGCCCTAGTAAATCCAGCTTCAAAATTAAGGAAAATCTCAAAACAACCTCTGGTAGAGTGATTGGCAGAATAGATGGAAAGTTGGGGGTGATCACTTATGAAGGACAGGACATTTCATTGGCTCCAACTTTATCCATCTTCCAGAAACAGCTGGATGGCATTTGAGTATTGATGTTTTGGAGTCTGTATGTATTGTATTTTTTATATTATTTGTGATTATGTTATTGTCTTCTTTTGTGGACAGTCTACTTAGTCTTCTTAGGATTGTGGTGGGATATAAATGTGATTAAGAAATAAATAAAATGTAAGCTAACTGAGGCCCACTGGCCTAGTAGGTACCAGTTGAATAGCTACTAAATTGGGGGATGGGGTTGCTGGACAATGTCTTTAATAGGAAAGAACTGAAATTTCATTTTGAGGTGAGAACAGAAGGCAGAAGTTTGTCATATTGTCTCACACACTGATTTGATGATCATTTTTGTCACTGTTTACCACCTGTTTATGATCCTAGTCATAATAGTATGTTTCACTGCTATGGGTTGGAGTTGTGTTTTCTTCTATATTTTTTATGTCTGTAAGAGGCCATGCCCACATTTTGTGTTCAAGGGGTCTCCACAAAATCAAATTGTGCAGGCCCTATAGCTTTTCTAGAGGTATCAACATCACAGTAGTGATAGGATGGCAACATTCTTTAAAGGTCACCAAAAACCAGAGGATGAATTTGCAGCTTATGAAACAGAACACCTTGGTATTAACTATTTCCTCAAAGGACTCCAAAATCATTATTTGGCCTTAGGCAAAAACAAGAATGATTGCATCAGAAATGGCCCAATCAGGTTGATCTGAGAAACTAAGAGGGGCACCACTTCCATAACTCTGTCCAAAAGACAATGTATGTATGTACGTATGTGTGTGCGTGTGTATACACACATAGTAATTTTATTAAAGATTACAATGTACAACAATAGAAACTAATGCAAACTAAAAAAAACTAAAGAGAAAATATAGAAGGTGCAGAAAAGAAAGAAAAGTGAAAAAATACTGTAGAAAGAAAAATAGAAAAGAAAGAAAAAAATAAGAATATAGTGAAGAAAAAGAAAAATATATAAAGAAGTAACTTCACCCTTCATCACATAAAGTATAACAATTTTAGTAACTTACCACCTTCTCTTAAAAT